AATCCCTAGGTGCTAAGCTAAGGTAGTCACGGAGTTGGACAGAGAGGAGAGAATAAAGCTACTTTTGATATTTCAAAAGTTTAATGGGAATCCCACATCTACTTATCCACAATAAAGCCACAAAGGATAACAAGAAATGCAACTTTCTTTGGTTTTGGATGAAATTACATTAACTACTTATGGTCAACTAAAAGACTTTGGAAATAAATAGACCTGAACTAAACCCCCAGGTAAGGTGTGTGATCTTGAGTAAGGAGAGTAACATCCCCCACAGAGAGACTGACAACACTGACCTTGCAGGGCAGTTACAAGGATTAAATGAGATAATGTATGGAAAGCACTTAACATGGGGTCTGGCACAGAGTCAGTACTCAGTACGTGACAGCCACTATGGCTAATATCCTTCCTTAGCTTCCCTGGGGCTCAGTTTCTTCACTGCTAAAACTAAAATCATACCACCTGCTTTACTCATTCAACAAATATTTACTGAGCCAAGTACAATGAATACAAAAATGTATTCACCAGATGCAGTTCATGTCCTCTCAGAGCCTAGTTTGAAGTTGCTCATTATTCATCCATTCAACAAATATTTTTACTGAACATTTAGTATATAACAAGCTGCATAATGGGAGTTAGAGACACAATGGCCAGTAAAACAGATTTAATCGCCAAGTATCTACAGAATTATAGCCTAGAGAAGATGTAATAAAATCAGCTAGTGAAATGACTAACATATAGTAGGTGCTCAATGGATAAAAGTTATCTAGGTGCTAGTCAGAAGCTGTGTATGTGTATCTTTGGGAAAGTTAGCTCATAAAAATGTTGAAAATTAATGATTTCTTAACACATGAATTTGTTTGATAGATAGGGACTTTGTATGTAAGCATTGAATCACTATATAGTACACCTGAAACTAATATTATACTGTATATTAACTGGAATTTAAATAAAAACTTTGAAAAAAGAATTGATAGTAAAAAAATTAAAAATTTAAAAATTTAAAATGAATAAAATATGAGAGAAATCCCAAAAAGTGAAATTTTTATTTATTTATTTTTAAAGATTTATTTATTTATATTAGAGAGAGAGAGCACAAGTGGGGGGGACAGAGGGAGAAAGAATCTGAAGCAGACTCTGTGCTGAGCGTGGAGGCCAACGTGGGGCTCAATCTCACAACCCCAAGATCAAACCTGAGCTGAAACCAAGAGGTGGCCGCTTAACCGACTGGGCCACGCAGGCGCCCCCCCCCCACCAATATAACATTTAAATATACATTTAACAAAAGATATGTAGCATCTATATGCTGAAAACTATAAAATGCTGATCAAAGAAAACCTAAATAAATGCAGAGGCATTCTGTGTTCATGGACTGGGAAACATAACACAGTGAAGATGTCACTTCTCCCCAAAGTGATCTATAGATTTAATGTAATTGCTATCAAAATCCCAGCCAATGGGGTGCCTGCATGGTTCAGCTGGTTAAGCATGTGCCTTCAGCTCAGGTCATGATCTCAGGGTCCTGGGATCAAGCCCACTCAGTGGGGAGTCTGCTTCTCCCTCTCCCTCTGCCCTCCTCCCACTCATGCTTTCCCTCTGTCTCTCAAATAAACAAAATCTTTTTTTAAAAAAATCCCAGCCAGCAAGGTTTTTTTGTAGATGTAGACAAACTTGTTCTAAAGTTTATATGGAAAAACACAGGCCCTAGAAGGGCTGAAACAATCTTGACAAAGAAGAACAAAGTGGGAGAAATCACTCTACTCAATATTAAGGCTTGCTGTATGGCCACGGTAACCAAGACAATGTGGTATTGGTGCAAGACTAGATACAAAAGTCAATGAAAGAGAAGAGAGAATCCAGAAATAGACCCACACAAATATGTGCAATTGGTTTTTTAAAAAGGTGCAAAAGTAGTTTAAAGAAAGAAGGATAACATTTTCAACAAATGGTGCTGGAGGAATTAGACATTCATAGGCAAAAACAACAAAAGAAAAGAACCTTGATGCAACCACTCTGGAAAACAGTATGGAGGTTCCTCAAAAAGTTGAAAATAGAGCTACCATATGATCCAGCAATTGCCCTACTGGGTATTTACCCCAAAGATACAAATGTAGGAATCCGAAGGGGTACGTGCACCCTGATGTTTATAGCAGCAATGTCCACAATAGCCAAACTGTGGAAAGAGCCAAGATGTCCGTCGACAGATAAATGGATAAAGAAGATGTGGTGTGTTATATATATATATATATATATATATATACACACACACATATACACACACACACACACACACACACACAATGGAATATTATGCAGCCATCAAAAGAAATGAGATCTTGCCATTTGCAATGACGTGGATGGAGGGTGTTATGCTGAGTGAAATAAGTCAATCAGAGAAAGACAGGTATCATATAACCTCACTGATATGAGGAATTCTTAATCTCAGGAAACAAACTGAGGGTTGTGGGAGTGGGGATGGGGTGGGAGGGATGGGGTGGCTGGGTGATAGACATTGGGGAGGGTATGTGCTATGGTGAGTGCTGTGAATTGTGCAAGACTGTTGAATCACAGACCTGTACCTCTGAAACAATGCAATATATGTTAAGAAAGAAAAAAAAGAAGAAGATAGCAGGAGAGGAAGAATGAATGGGGGGAAATCGGAGGGGGAGACGAGCCATGAGAGATGATGGACTCTGAAAAACCAACTGAGGGTTCTAGAGGGGAGGGGGGTGGGGGGAATGGGTTAGCCTGGTGATGGGTATTAAAGAGGGCACATTCTGCGTGGAGCACTGGGTGTTATGCACAAACAATGAATCATGGAACACTACATCAAATACTAATGATATAATGTGTGGTGATTAACATAACAAAAAATTTAAAGAAAAAAAAAAGAAAAGAACCTTGATCCCAAACTCACATCCTTATATAAAAATTAACTCCATTTTTGGACTGGGCTATAAGACATAAAACTGTAAATGTTTTTTAAAATAGGAGAAAATCTTCTGTTTCTAGGGCTAGACAAAGTTCTTAGCCTTAACACAAAAAAAAACATGATCCATAAAAGAAAAATTGATAAATTGGACCCCATTAGAGTTCAAAACTTTCTCTGCAAAAGTCCACATGAAGAGGATGAAGAGAAAAACTACAGACTGGGAGAAAATATTTGCAAACCAAACATTCAAAAAGGACTAGTATCTAGCACATACAAAGAACTCTCAAAACTCAAATGTAAAAAAAACCAATCCAGTTAGAAAATGGGCAGAAGGGACACCTGGGTGACTCAGTCAGTTGAGCTTTCAACTCTTGGTTTCAGCTCTGGTCATGATCTTAGGGTTGTGAGATTGAGCTCCATATCGGCCTCTGGGCTCAGTGGAAGTCTGCTTGGATATTCTCTCCCTCTGCCCCTTCCCCCCTGCACACGCTCGCTCTCTCTCAAATAAATAAATCTTAAAAAGAAAGAAAGAAAGAAAAGAAAATGGGCAGAAGACATGAACAGATATTTCACTGAAGAGGAGATAGAGATGGCAAATAAGTGTATGAGAAAAGTTTGACATCATTAACTATCAGGAAAATGCAAATTAAAACCACAATGAGATGTTACCGTATACCTACCAAAATGTCTAAAATTAAAAATAATGAAAACTCCAAGTGCTGGCAAGGAGGAGGAGAAACTGTATTGCTCATACATTGCTGATGGGAATGTGAAATGGTACAGCCATTCAAGAAAACAGTTTGACAATTTCTTAACAAAACTATTATGCAATTACCATAAGATTCGGCAATTTCCATCTTAGACATCCCAGAAAAATGAAAACTTAGGTTCACACAAAAACTATACAAGAATATCCATATCAGCTTTATTCATAAAAGCCAATAACCAGAAATAGCCCAGACATCCTTCAGTGGGTGAATGGTTAAATAAACTATGTACATATTGCCATGGGATACAATGTGGCAATAAAAAGGAACAAACTACTGATACACTCAACAACCTGGATGAATCTCAAGAGAATTATGCTAAGTACAAAAAAGCCAATATCCAAAGGTTGCATACTATTTGATATAGCATTTTTGAAAAGATAAAATTTTAGAAAAGGAGAACAGATTCGGCGTTGCCAGGAGTTAGGGAAAGTGGGGGAGAGGGGAGAGGGAGGGCAGTGGACACCCAAGGGCAACACAAAAACCTTCTGGCTTAGGAATTCTTCTGTATCTTGACTGTATAGACCCACAAACCTACACACGTGACAAATATTTAGAATTAAATACACATTCACAAATGAGTACAAGTGAAACAGGAGAGATCTGAATAAGATTGATAGATTGCATCAATGGCAAATCCTGGTTGTAATATTGTATCACAGGGGATGTAAGATGTTACCACTGGGGGGACTAGGTATAAGGTATGCTGGATCTCCTGTATTATTTCTTACTACCACATGTGTTTTTGGGCGCCTGGGTGGCTCAGTCGTTAAGCGTCTGCCTTAAGCACGGGTCGTGATCCCAGGGTCCTGGGGTCAAGCCCCACATCGGGCTCCCTGCTCCGCGGGGAAGCCTGCTTCTCCCTCTCCCACTCCCCCTGCTTGTGTTCCCTCTCTCGCTATCTCTCTCTCTCTGTCAGATAAATAAAATCTTTACAACTATCTCAATAAGGATTTCAGCTAAAAATTTTATTGTTTTGTATTTTAAAACTTGCATTTTACTAAACAGTTGAAGATATAGAAGAAAATAGAGCAGAAAAATCATCATCCTGAAATACAGTATTTTGATGGAGTTTTTTCTGGTCTTTGTTTTTTACATTTATATGAAAAAAAAACTGTGAGAGACTGGAATAAAAATCAGGGTGATGATGACAAGGTAGGGGCCTTGCTGTCTCCCACCTTCTATGACATCAGAACTCAGTGTTTGAGGGATGCCTGGTAACCAGAGGCCAGAAAAGAGGAGGGCACCCATCTGCCTGTCAGGTGGCAGTACCTTGTTCCACCCAGGCAGCCTGACCTGAGGCCATGGTGATCCAACAAGTGGGCAGCAGGGGGCGAGTGGCGGCCGAGCTGTTTGAAAGGAGAAGGGGCAGTCGCTGTGAGGACAAAAAACAGGTGAGGCCAGACTGGATGTATGCTGCCTTCCTCCCATCTGGGCCCCCTTTGCCACTGCAGACAGACTGTAAGGCCCTCAAAGTCAGAAGAGGCCTTCAGCCCTACTCTTCCTGGAGCCCGACGTGGTGGGACGCAGCATGCATGCTTCGGGGCTTCTTCCCCGAGGCCATTACTGACTGACTCTCTTATTTCATTCCCACCACTGCCAGCAGAACTTATCCTCCAGGAGGGCTGGATTGTTTGTTTAGTTTCCTACTAGATCCCTAGTGCCTACAATGGTGCTTGGTGCGTAATAGCGGTTGAATGAATGAATGAACTGAAATAAATAGGATACAGCTGAATTGTAGAGCTCCTGAAGTATTTGTTCGTAGAGCTAAAATTCAAACCTCATGCAGATTTATGTCAAAATGGGAAATGTCATCACTTATAATGCACAGCCCGGTGCTTCCACCCCCTCTCTCTTTCATGACTTACAACATGCCTGAGAGGCACTATTAACAACCTCATTCACAGATGGATAAACCAAAGCTTAGAAAAGCAAAAAGGCCATATAGCCAGGACCCAGGTTTTGAATCAGGTGCATCTGATTCTAGGACCCTTAACAAGCTTACCCTGCACTCCACTGCCTCCCAGATGGAGAAGTGAGGGAGGCGTGTAAAGAAGGCTGGGAAGGTCGCCTAGACCTTGCACACCATGGAAAGAGATAGGACTTTATTCTGAGATTAATAAGAGGCCATCGAGGGGTTTTAAGCAGACCAATGGATGACTGATCTCTATACGTTTCCAAAAGATTTGTTCACTTGTTCATTTGATATACATGCCCCAATTCCTCCTTTGTGCTGGACCTCACAGCAAGATGGGGGCCTTGTGGGGTTCCTATCATGCTCCACCTTTTCCTAAAAAGAGTTGCATAAATACCAAACCCCAGGAAGCCTTTGAGAAAAATCCCCAAAAAAGTTCTGTGGTTCAAGGAATGCCGACACTCTTGTCCCCCCAACCTTGGAGACTTACACTGCTCATTCACATAATGAAGCCTCTGAGAAGTTCTGCAGCAAGGAATTCACTTCACTTTGATAACCACAGCATTTCCCAAGCCGATCGAAAACAGAGTCACAGCTTTTCTTTTTGAAAGACCTTTCAGGGGCGCCTGGGTGGCTCAGATGGTTAAGCATCTGCCTTTGGCTCAGGTCATGATCCCAGAGTCCTAGGATCGAGCCCCACATCAGGCTCCCTGCTCAGCGGGGAGCCTGCTCCTCCCTTTCCTTCTCCTGCTCCCCCTGCTTGTGCTCTCTCACTCTCTCTGTCAAATAAATAAATAAATAAAATCTTAAAAAAAAAGAAAAGACCTTTCAGCATATTTCAAAATTCATTTTACAGATGAAGCAATTGAGGCTCAGAGAGAAGAAATGATTTGGCTGAGGCCCCAAGACAGCAGCACAAGGAGAACTAAAACTTAATCCTGCCCCTATTTCACCCTTTGCCCCCCACACAGTATAAAATACAAACCCAGCAGCAAGTGTGCTGGGGAAGACATCATCCTGTAAAGTGCATGGACAGAGGGGTTGTTAAATAGCAGAGCATTCACCATAGAACGTTTAACAGCCATTATAAAGAACGAAACAGTTCTGTGTGTCTTATGCCCAGGGAATATTATTAAGAAAAGAAAAAGTGCCCTTAAGTGTACGATGCAAGGATCTTTACACGGGGTCTACACACCTGGGCAGTCACAGCGCCCCCCCGCCACCAGGTCAAGCTATGGAACATTCCCAGTGCCCCAGAAGCCTCCTTCAGGCCCCTCCCAGCTGGTCCCCCTCCCACATAACCATGATTCCTGACCTCTATCATCATAGATGAGTTTTGTATTTTCTTGAATTTCATGTGCATGGAATCAGTGTGTACCTTTATGCCTGGCTTCTTTCGCTCATCCATTTATCTGTAAGACTCTGCCAGATTGTTGCTTTTTATTTTTATTTTAAAAGGTCATGATGATAATAATATAGTTGCTAGTATATATAAAGAAAACTATCTGGGGAAGAGGCAAATCATGCAAATCTTTTATCTTCTTTGTGGTGGTAGCAGGTCTAACTCTTGCTTCACAAACTCGGTAAATAAGAAATGTGTTATTTCAAGGCAAATTAAGTCTGACTCAGCCTGCCTCTAGTGAGTTGGGGAAAATTCAGTGTCAGTCAGTACTGTGTGTGCCTTAATCCTTTGTCCACTTTTGCGTGCCCCTGACAGTGTCACTCTCCCAACTCACAATGTCTGTTGAAAATCAGTGTCTCTGAATTCGCTGTGCTAAGGCCAGCCCAGACACACCACCGAGAGTGGGTGCCAGGCCCCTCCCAGACTCAGACTGCCCTTGTCTCTTCTCCCACCTCTCTAAAAGACCCCTTTCTCCTCTCTTAATCCTGGCACGTCCATCAGAATCTCCTAAATGATCTTGGACTGACACAGGCACCAGCGAGCAATGTTGTCTCCAGGTAGCTCCTTCACTCCATCCTGCCTCAAAACGCTAGGACGAGACTTCCCAGTAACTGGGGCCAGGCTAGCCTTCCCATTGGAGCAACCACAAAATGCATGACACCTATGAGGCAGCTACTCTTGGGTGACGGCCACCAGGCAGCACAAGAGTGCTATCCCGGAGGAAAGGAAGACTCATGACAGCCTCCACTCTTTCCCAGCGGTTGTTGCACTGAGGTAGAGGCCAAGCACAGCACCACAGTCCTGCTGAGCTGCAGGGGGGGGTTGGGGGGGTGCAGCTAAGGCACCGGACTCTGTAGGATGAGGCACTGGAGAGGGGAGAGGGCTGCGCACCCAGGGGTTCCCCATGACTCCTTGGAGGAGGGCTGGGATGCACATGCGAAGGGCTGGATTAGCTGCTCTCACCAGAGTGGCTGCTCTGCCCTTGAGAGCAGAGTGGAGATCCTGGAAATCCAGCAGCGCTGGAGGTTGCTGGAATTCCGGCCCAGCTAGAGCAGAGGAACTCCTTAACTCTCAGGCATCTCTTTGAGAGCACACATATACAGACATGGACACACATCTATGCACACACATATACAGACATGTATGTGTATATATACATGCACACACACATATACATATATATATTTGGAAAAAAAGAAAACTTTAGAAGCAATGGCTAGAGGCGCCTAGGTGGCTCAGTCGGTTAAGTGTCTGCCTTCAGCTCAGGTCATGATCTTAGGGTCCTGAGACCAAGCCCTGCATCAGGCTCCCCATTCAGCAGGGAGTCTGCTTCTCCCTCTCCCTCTGCTCCTCCCCTCTGCTTGTGTTCTCTCTCTCTCTCAAATAAATGAAATTTTTTAAAAATCTAAAAAAAAAAAAGCAGCAGCAGCAGCAATGGTCAAAGTTTCCACGTTAAGAAGGAAATAAGGAAGAATTAAGCTCAACGATAGAAAGAAGAAACAATAAAGATAAAATCAGAAACTAATGAAATAGAAAATGAAAGTTATAAATAAAATTAATAAACTTTTGCTTTGAAAAGATTTATAAATTTGGTAAATTTTTCATAGTCTATTTTTTTTAAAAAAGAAAAAACACAGATTACCAATATCGAGAATAAAATGGAACTATCACATGTCTACCTCCTATAGACATTAAAAGGATATGAAGATAATATGAGGAATGACTGGATGCCAATGCATTTGCTCACCTAGGTGACATGTAAAAACTTCTTGGACAACACAATTTACAAAAGTGACTCAAGAAGAAATAAAAAGTCCAAAAGACTACAAGCCCAAAAGATTTCACCAGTAAATTCTATCAATCATGTGACAAAGAAAGCCCCAAAGATTTCACCAATAAATTCTATAAATCATGTGACGAATCTCACAAAATATCTTCATAAAATAGAGGCGGAGGAAATACTCCCTGACTCATTTTAAAGGGGCAACATAACCTTGACTCTAAAACTCCACAAACATATAGAAAAAAAATCTAATCTCTCCATGAATATAGTTGAAAAGAACAATCTCCACAAACAGTAGCAAATCAAACCCAGCAATATAGAAAAAGGTGAATGCATCATGAACAAATGGCTTCCTGAAGGAACCCAGGTTGGTTAGGTATTCAAGTCAATCCATGCAATCTGCTGCAGGCTCAGACAAAAAGGACTGCACTCAAGTCTCTCAGTGGATACAGGAAGTGCATTTCACTAATTCAGCGTTCATTCTTGGTAAAATTCTCAGAACAGTAGGAACAGAAGGAAATGCCTTCAAACTGAGAAAGGACAACAGGAAAAAGCTACAACTACCTCTACTCACACCCTGTCCCTCTAAGACACAGCGCAAGATGAGGATGTTTGCTTTCGCCACTTCTATTGGTATTTTACTAGTGATTCTAGTTAATATACAAGGCAAGCAAAAAAGCTAAAGATTTTTTGAAAGATAAAGAGTAGAAAGGATGAAGTAAAACTTCTTCCCAGACAGCATGATTTTTTATATACAAAATCCTAAACTCTATCAGATAAAAAAGAAAGAATTAAGTCGTAAGACACAAAATCAATTGTGTTTCTATAGACTAGCAACGAACAATTGGAAAATGAAAATTTAAAAACGATACTATTTATAATAGCATCAAAATCCATAAAATACATCTGAAAGATGAGCATGGCCTCTACACTTGAAAATGATGAAACATTGCTAAAAATAACCAAAGAGTGTAATGGAGAGATTCACCATGTTCACGGATTACAAGGTATGATATTTTAGAGACATTCTTTCTCACCAAACTGAACCAAGTTTCAATGTAATACTAATCAAAATCACAGGGTTTTTTTTTATAGAAACTGAAAAGGTTGATATATATATGTGAAAATGCAAAGGATCTAGGGTAATCAGAACAAATTTGAAAGGAACAAAGTTTAAAAACTCACACTATCTGATTTCAAATGTTACAATAAAGCTGTATGGAGGAGGAGCAAGATGGCAGAGGAGTAGGAGACCTGGATTTCGTCTGGTCCCAGGAATTCAGCTGGCTAGGGA